AGCGTCTGCGAGAGCGCACAGCGTCTGCGAGCGTCTGCGAGAGCGCACAGCGTCTGCGATGTTTTTAAGAGCCTCGCTGACTCTCTGGGCCCTTTCCCGCACACACCTGCCACAGATCGAGCCCCAGAACTCCGACTTTGTCGAACTTGTAAATTTCGGCGTCAGCAGTGTACTCGGGGTTGTCGACCTCAGGGTGGACCCAGACTCCTTTGTAGTTGGGGTTGTCGATCTGCTTCGGCTTCCACTCGCCCTGAGAGGAGACAGGTGCCATGAACGACCGCAACGCTCACATAACACAGTCATTCATGTTTGAGTTTAAGTGGGTTTAAATGCTTTCACTCCCTTCAGGTACACTTCTCAAAACTGAATAGGATCAGCTGTCAGTGACAGTTTGGGCCGCAGGTTCACAGCGGAGCTCGCTGCTCTGTACCTTATATTCCGGATTGGGGATCATGGCCGGTTCCCACTCGCCATCCATCTCATCATCCCAGTCCTCAGGCTTCTTGGCATCAGGGTCCGGAATGTTCTCCGGTTTGTCCCAGTCCTGAAATAAGACATTCAACAGTCAGTCACCAGGAAGCAAGGAAAGCCCCCAAAATACATACATACATACATACATACATATTTATTTATTTATTATTATTTTTACAAATATATATTTTCTATCAGAGTGTCTTATTTCATGGGAAAATTTCACCTTCTCATCATTTCCACTGAAAGCCTATGGAGAATAAAATTTTGTGCCAGGAAAATTACATTTTCTTTAAGATCCTCTCAATCCTTTTCATGACTCAAATACACTAGGTAAGATCAGCCTTAGGAACTGCTTCACAAGTAAATTCTGAGCAAAGCAAAAAACAAAAGCCATTCACAACACTGAGCAGGAACCATACCGATATAACAGATCCTCTCAGGTGTTTGCTAACTAACAGCTGCACTTGGCAAACTAAAGTAAAATGTAACACATGATTTTTGCCTTTGGAACACAGAGCACAATGCTGTTCCTTCATTACCTCACCATGCTATAGTCCCTGTTCATATTAGTTCCGAATGCACAGCACTACACTTCCTCGCTGATTACGTGCCAGTCAGACGCCCCATTCAGAGTGGAAGCGACTCCACGATCACCGCAACACTGATAGGCAGTTATGAAAGGATGCATATGGCATGTGAGAATCAGCTCATGTTTGATTTGGGAAATCAGCAGGTGGCTATTTTTTGTGAAGAGCTTATACAAAAATAAACATTTTAAATGCATGAGGGTTTTATGGCAATCAGCTTCAAAGGTCGGCGGTCTGACGTCCTGGCCGTCACCTCAGGTTTGGTGTCCGAGACGTCGTCAATCTTGGCACGATCATCCCAGTCCTCAGGCTTCTTCGCCTCTGGATCTTTGATCTGTTTTGGGGGCAGAAAGTCCCAGTCGTCCTCCAGTGTCCCAGACTCCACCTTTTCGTTGTCGATCTTGACTTCATAGGTCTGATCAGGCCGCAGAATCAAGGTGTAGACGTGCGTCAGCTCATCGTCCTGAAGCAGAAACGGCAGAAAGGGGGCCAGTCACAGCTATACTGATAACCACGCAGAATGTCTCAGAAATCGGTCAGCCGGCCCTTGGAACTTGCCTTGCACCGAATTTCCTTCTTGATCAGGTGATTTTTGCCTTTGTAGTTGAAGATGACGTGAACCTTTTTAGTGCTGTAACCACAGATGTCTGAGCCTGCCCACGAACATTGAAATTAAATGAGTCACATTTCCTTTACACAGACTCAGCAGTGTAAATAACCTCAACTTTTGTACTTTCCAAGCTGTCAAGACCCAGGAGAAGAGAAGATAAATGGGGGAGAAGCCCCCCCTCTCACCGAACATGATGTAATACTGCGACTCCCCATGCATGTTGGCCTGATCCAAGTCAGCAGGGAAGACCTTGACATAGCCGCCCCCGCAGTCAATCTTCTGCTCGTGTTTGACAGTGAACTGGATGACAAGCGTCTTTCCTTCGTTGCTGAAAGCTTCAAAGCGGGAGGAGAGGGCATAGAAGCGGGCGTCCTGGCTCGTCTGGAGACCTGCGGGAAAACCGCAGTGAAAGCGAGTAAATGGGACCAGCTCCGCAGAACCACACCACGCAAGATGACTGGACGGCTGTCAACGTGCAGAATGTGCATCTTAGACATATTTGCAAAGACACGCAGGTAAATTTATATATTTGAATACTGATGACACTAACAAAAAGACAGGGAAATGTTTTAAGGATCCTGCACAACTAGAAGTGTGGCAATAAGAGGAAGAAAGACACGCCAACATAATCCATTAATCCAGAAACGCCCCGCAGCTCAGTCACAAACAGAAAGTGAAACAAGAAAATACTCACCTTTATCCTTCTCCGCATCACCATAGAACTTCCCTGCACTGAGTTTCCACTGACCGTAGTCAGACTTGTGTGTGGATTCCACCCAACGACTCTTCCAACCATCTGTGTTAAAACAGAAGATAAACATCATGAGCAGGTCTACGCAGTAAAGACGATGCATGTCTACCGACTAAAGAAAAATGGTCTGTTACAAAAATGCTATTTTGAAATTGTCAAATTTCAAGAACAAGAGACACCCGAATGAGAACCAGTTCATTAGTAGCACCAGTTACCAGTGGAGCAGAAAAACAAACAAAAAAAAAAAAAAAAACAATTTCAAATCTATGAAACACCAAGAACTGCGCTGCTAGGTCACATCCAACACGATCAGGTGACGATCAGGCAATTGAACTGCTTAGTTTGAGTGGATGTAGGCTGCAAGTCACGAGGAGTTTCTAGTTCTGGGAAAAAATGTCTACACCCGTAGCAAACGTGCCGATTTCTTGCTTTTTGGTTGTTGAAATTCAATTGCTCGTAAATGAAAGTAACAAACGTCATGTGATGCTTAGTCTATAAAAATCATATAGTAAAACAAAACAGATGCTTGTATAGAACACCGTTTATTTTGGGTATATATTTGTACTTTGATTCCTCATTTTATTTGCATTATATAATTGATTTACAATGTATTATGTATTCTTCGTATATTTAAATGCGATGAGAGCAATATCTTGTTACAATTTCCCTCTGGATAAATAAAGTTTTGTTGTACGTCACTTATTAGGAAGTCAATCTATCTGTATTCTGGAGACAGAAAAAAATAAGTGCAAAAGATAGCGCATATACAGAAAAGAAGTTCTATTCAGCTGGGAAAAGTAATATATGATAGGTCAAACTACAGACGACAAGGCCGATGCATGAATATAACCATTATCACTTTAAGATAGTTTTTCATATGAACAACATTAGAAGAAAAGCTTACCCTCATCTAGAAATTGCTCCTTAAAGTATACAGTTGCGTTGGCAGCTATTGCTGCAATAAGTAAAACAAGTACCACTCCAGAAAAATTCATGTTTTAACTCAATGTTTCGCCCTTCTGCTGTAACCTGGCGTCGCACCGCTTAGCGCACAGAAATTCTTACTTCTTTTCCTGAACAGATGGCCGTCGCTCATTGGACTAGAAACTGGCCAATGGCGAGACACCACGAATTAATCCGAGGAGGTGCACGCAAGTGCTTCGGAGCGGGGCGCGAGGTGCGCGCCTGGGGCGGGCTGCGGGAGTAGGCGGGTCCGCCCTCTGTTCGGCCGGCGTGATTGATGAGGGGGAAAGACGAGATGAAAGTTTTCCCAGAATTAATGTACACTCTGTAAGGTAATTAACTATACCGTGACATGATATAATTGTTTCTAATAAAGACTGCCTGCAAGCCATCAGGCTACTGAGCTGCTGAAATACTGAACACTTTGCACATCCCCCTATGAACTCTGTTCCTTCTCTGACCTTAGAACTAGTCACTTAAAAAAACATTCACTTTAAACCTTTCTTTCGTACATACGCAGGAGTGCATATGTACATATACACACCACACTTTCTTGTACTACTGTCTTTTATAAGTTCTTGCAAACGCTAAACACTGTACTATGCACCTTATTATTTTACTATTTTATTTTACTATTTACTGTTTCTACTATTTTGCTACTTCCCCCCCTAAACTTGATATTTGTGACAAAGGAAGATTAATGAGTTGTGGCTATATTAAAATTAATTTATCTCGCTTCAAATGTAGCTGCTAAATTAATCCGTGTAAAAATCGGTTTAGCTTTTTCGTAATTCTAATTTAAAGCGTGAAGTATTCAAACTGTCTGATTAGGATAATTTGTTTACATTCGCAATATTTATATATCTACATATCGCAACATGTATCACGCAATTAAAGTAAACTATACCGTGTAATCAAAAAACAACTGGGAATAATCTCCCAAATTAGATGGAATGATAAATCGATAAATAGAGCGGCTTGGGTTTTCTCCTAGCGGCAACGCGTTGGGGTTGTTGTGATGTTTGTCCTTCGCACGATCCGTAGAGGGTACAGTCGCGCGCTTGCATTTGCTATGGAGACGGGTACCGCAGTAATATGGCTTATGTGTTTTCAAGCTGCTTCGTAAAGGAAAATTCCCTACGAATACATATAGCTATAATTAACGCATTAGACAAGATAAAACGGCGCAAGACAATGCAGTAAACGCCACAGATTAGCGACTCCCGTCACCGTAGCTAGCCGACAGCCTGCCTGCCCGTGAGGTTTGTATTATGTAGCTAATGCATGATGCAGTGCCAAAATAAACATTAGCCAAATCATTAGCTATCTACGTTTGTTTCTGCAACGAGATACAGATACCGTAGTAGTACGTGTCTGCATATTGTCATGAAAAGCTTTGGTAGTTCGAGTAATTGCTTTTTAAACTTGAAAATCAAAAATAAACCCAAGGTTTCGAATCTATAAATTATTACTCAATACATACTCAAAACTGTGTACAGTGGACTCTCGAGTTACGACCGGTGTTCTGACAAAACATCCTACCTATCGAACATTCCTGCGCATGTGCAGTCCCACCGTTTTGGGATTAGGATTAGGTTTTAGGGGTTAGGGTTAAGGTAAGAGTTTTAGGGGTTCTTGGGGGTTTAGGGTTAGGGTAAGAGTTAGGGTTAGGGCTATGGCTGTCGATTAGCACTACAGGAGGATGTTTTGATAAAGTAGGACGTTTTGTCAGAACGCCGGCCTGGCATACGAAGAACTTGGGTTACGACCCGAATGCCGGTCGAGGCCGAAACGTGTCTCTGGCTGTAAACAAAGAGCTGTGATGCCCGAGGGGCGCCTGTCAGCGTCAGTCTGAACCCAGATACGCTTGTTTTTGGGCGTCATTTCGGTCAGTGCAGTGCTTTGGCCCCAAAAAAGCTAAGGAAGGAAAAGAAGGAAAGCAATCACAATCGAAGAGAAGGAATTTGTGCAGAAATTTGAGAGTGGTGTTCATGTGACCGATCTCGGTAATATATACAGCATGTGGAAATCCACCATCTCGACAATGTTAGATGAGGTAGAAAGGCTGTTATTAGTGTAATACGAAAGGCTATCACCTGCCGTCTGCCTATCTGAGTCTATAATTTGTGAAAAAGCTTGAGCTATAAATGCAGATCTCGTAAAGGATAAGCCATCAACGAGTGATAATGGTGAAACCTTTCGGCACAGTAAGGGATGGTTTCACAATCTTAAAGCGAGACCTGGAATTCACGGCGTAGCTTTAGCATGACGAAGCCGCCGGTGCTGATAAAGGGCTGAGAAAAATTGTCTTGTCTAAATATATGAAATTAACCTGTTGTGTTTTTGGATCTTTTTCCAGAATTGTTTTATACGTTTACGATGTGGAACCGAAGTGGCAGCCGGAGCGCTGCTCTGGAGAGGGCGACCAGACAGCTGTCAGGACAAAGACTTTCGGCAAGATCACATGTTGTTAAGAGGAATGAGCTCCAGGTGTTTGTCAGATGAAAAAGAACGCCTTAAATGTTGTTTATTGTTAAGAAGTTAAAATTTTATATTAACGAAGGTTTCGTTCGTTGTCATACTTTGTAATAATAAATGATCTGTTTGTTTCAAGGAATACATGAACGCCCTGTCTTTGAAGTCGGGTACATTGCTGCCCAGGCAGTCTGCAGTCAAACATTTGAGTGACATCTCATCTGATGAAAGTGAAATCAAACCCCAGGATGGCGAGTCTGACACTTCAGACAACAGATACATTAAGGAGGAGCCGGCGATGGGGGTAGGGAGTAGGTTTCTGAAGAAGCCCCCCCCCGTGACGGTCTCTCCCCCCACAGCGAGTAAGGCGGCCGCAGCGAGCTCGGTCTCCGTGTGGCAGGGCCGCTCCCGGAGTGTGGCACTGAGCCGCCTCGCAGTGATCGAGGACCGCATCAGGAGCCGCAAACAGGCTGCCTCGGCTCCTGCGGCGAGCCTGCCAGTGCCCGGCGAGGCCACCGCAGTGTCACCCTCGTCCAGCGATGACCTCAGTGCGAGGGGAAGTCGCTTCCTGAAGGAGAGGACTGCTCAGCAGGAGCCGAAGATCGCGCCGCCCAGGAACCTCCCCTCGTCACACGTCAGGTTTATTAACGACGGTGCGAGCCTTTGCAGTGACGAGGAGGACATGGAGAACTTACTGGGAGGTTCTTGTGATTCAGAGGGCAGTTTGCTGAAAGAGAGCCGCTCTGCATCTCAGAAGGGTGTCGAAGGAAAGGTACTAGGAAAGGAAGGGTGTGGCATTCACCAAAAAGTGTGTGTGTGTGCGTGCGTGTGTCTGTGTGTGTGCGTGCGTGTGTCTGTGTGTCTGTGTGTCTGTGCATGAATGTGCCATTGCCATGTGTTGGACTGGCATCCCATCTAGCGTGTCCCTCACCCTTGCCTCACCCTGTCCTGCCTGATAAGGTCTAGGTCCCCATAGGACTCTAGGGTCAGTGGTTATAAAACAGATGGATGCATTTACCTAATAGGTGTTTGTTTATTTATTTATAAGGCAAAGCACATACAGTAAAACCTCAGATTGCGAGCATAATTCATTCCGGAAACGTGCTCGTAATCCAAAGTACTCATATCAAAGCGAATTTTCCTATTAGAAATAATGGAAACTCAGATGATTCGTTCTACAATCCAAAAATAATCATTAAAAATTATTAATACAAAGTATAAAGTAAAAATACATAGAACAAATTAACCTGCACTTTACCTTTTAAAAGAATCGTGGATGATATGAGGGAGATGAGAGAGAGGAGAGGAGGGTTATTTTGTAGGATGACTTTCACTATAACGGAATCACTGCTATCTGTTGGCTCACTGGAATCTTTTTCTTTTTGTGCGACTTTAACAAGGAACCTATCCAATGACAGCCGCTTTTGCCTCCTTTTCGATTTCCCGGAAATGTGACATTGCATTTTCGTTAAACAGATTCATCACTCACACTGCTACACCCTTATTCAGGTGGTGCTTTTCTACTAAATTTTGACTACGAATGTGGCACGCCGACTGAGACCGAGCATGGGAGATGATTATCCTCAATCCCGCAGTGAGAGAGAGAAGAACCATCGGCTCAGTTATGATTACGTGATGCTAGACAGACAAAGCGTTTACGTAATACTCAAATTGCAAGACCTTTCTCTTTTATCAAGTTAAAATTTATTTTTTAAATTTTGCTCGCAAACCAAGTTACTCGCAATCTGAGGTTTGACTGTAATTACGTTGCTGTTCACTTGTAATGAAAAAATTACTCTAGGAAAACAGTCTCATTTATAGCATTCCTGTCTGCATTAATCATACTATTCCAGAGACAGGAAACAGTTTATCTGTGTGTGGTTTCTTTCTCTTTCATTAGAAGACTTTCATTAAAAGCAGCACTAAGTTACAGGCAGCCTCGCCACCCTCCATCGAAGACAAGCCGCCCTCCCCATTGTCCCCAAGTGGGGGGCTGCAGGAGCTCCCCAGTGCCAGCCTTCATCCTCGGGGGGGTCCCCCCCACACTGCGAGGTCTGCCACAGTGGAAGGTTCCCTGTCCCCATCTCCGCCAACAACCCACTCTCCTGAGAGGACCACGTCTCCAAGGATTAGGTTCTCGAGGACCACCGTGTCATCAGATTCGGCACACAGTGACATCAGGTCCTTGGAGGGGCTCTTTGTGCGAAACCCATCCTCCAGCGATTCCTTTAGTGGGAGGACCACGCCGTCGGAGGGTGACTCCTCATTCTTGTTTTTAGCTGGTTGTATGTTGGGCTGAACGCCTAATCCATACTTCCCTTGACGGTGTCCGTACAGATACACGGACAAAGGTAGCATGTATGCAAAATTCAGCATGCGCAACCATGCAGTTAAATCTTTTCTGTCCAATGCAGAGTACAGAATTAATGTCATGAGCCTGGATGACTTGCTGCCAGATTTCGGGAGACCTGAGACTGACAGAGAAGAAAAGGCAAGTTAAATATTCCGAAGCACTTAGCATTCTGCTAAGGTTGACCTTCACAGTCAAGTACTCGTGTCTTTTTCAGACCAAAGTTGTACAAAAGGTAACTAATGCTGAGCTACCCTCACGTGGCCTGGATGTGAGGGATTCCAGGGAGACCGCAAACGAGGATGAGATTCGGCCAGCAGAAGAAGATTATGAAAGCGACTTTGAGAGCGAGATCAAGACGGAGTCGGTTGGGGGCGTCTGTGACGCCTCTGATCTCCATGGGGACAGTGACGTATCCACAGGTAGCAAAGGCCAGGACGTTAGCCACTCGGAGAGAGACCGCCGCCTCCAACGATCGGCAAAAGAGTCCCTCCAGTCAGAATCCCATAAATATCGTGAGTCATCCGAAAAAAGTAACTGGAGTTCCTTTTCGAGATCGGCTTCCCGATCTGGCACCATCTCCCCACCTCGAATTAAAGGCAGGAATGCGAGGGAGGCAGCTACACAGACCCAGCCAGACGGGACGTCCTACCCTTGTGGCACAGGTCAGTCGCTGTATATCTCTCACCCGCTGCGGTCTATCCCTTTTTTTTGATTTAACCAAGTTGTTGTTTTGGATGCAGCTGCCTTGGGGCCTTCTGTAGGAATGTCCTACGCAGACCCTACTCCTGTTGCGAGTCACGTCGTCAGTGCTGAAGCACTGGAAGGTAAGCATGGACCCTCACAAACACCCTGCCTGCACTACAGCTCCGTCTCCATACCGTAACTCTAGTGTGGATGGTCGACGGGCAGTGTCAATGCTCATATGCGGCTTATATTGGTCATGCGAAGTTCACAGAAATGTTTTTTTGGATCCTCTGCATGCCCCATATGTCAAAGCCCTTTGCCACTAAAGCACATTTCTGTGTATTGTTAGGCAAATGTTTCTTCCATTGAGTAAATAATTATGGAACTTTATTTGTAAGCTACCTTTTGCCCTGACTGTAGCCCCAGCTGCTGGCTTGGTGTGACGGCTCCAATAATCTACCTGATCCCTTGTGGCCCCTGGTTCCCCCCGCAGCCCTCACTGCCTACAGTCCAGCCCTCTTCGCCCTCAATGACATGCTGAGGCAGCAGCTGGCCCTCACCCGGCAGTTTGTGGAAGCCAGCAGGCATCTCCGCACCTCCGCCCTCCAGTCCCTGGAACCTGCAGAGTACCGCTACACAACGCTGGAGGAAACTAGGGAGGTAAAGCGACACACCGCAGCTCTATCGATACGACACTGACTACTGATCTAACAAACTACCTTGTGGCTTTAGGATGAAAATATGCTCATTTTCTCTTCACTCTCTTCTGGAAGTTCATAAAACATCACAGGTCCCCCAAGCTGACCGTGGAGGAGGCCTTGAAGGACGTATTGCAGGAGATGAGGAGCTATCACTACCTGTGATGTGGAGGAACTGAATACAAGAGACTACGGTGTAAGCGTGGGTCATGTGACAGTCACATGGTCTCTGTCTGTAGTGTTGCACATTTATTTCTGGCTTGCTAATGCATGACAGCGGCAGACACCCCTGTCAGGGGCCAAAGATCCACTCCAGTCAGATCAAAGGTATAGAACTAACTTGTATTTTGAATGCAGTGCTTTCCAATCCAGTCCTTGGGGACCTGTAGACAGTCCATGTTTTACCAGGAGCTGGGAGGGAGCAAAAATGTGGACCGTCTGCACATCCCAGAGGACCGGGTTGGGAAACACTGATCTAATGTAACTGCACTTGAATCATCTTCTCAGAATGTTTTGTTTGATAGTCAATATGCCAAAATGTTTTGCAGTAAAGTTTATTTTTGTACAAACCAGTGTTTTCTTTTTGTAGTTATTTCAACGCAGATGGTCATGTTGGTGTCACTTTGATGACCCAGGATTGCATTCATTCGCTGTCAAAACCCACTAACTACTGGAGTATTATAGTAGTATAATCTCCCAGAGCAGTGATGAGTTCTGGTCAGGCTGATTTGGTCTATCACAAATATTCAGATGCTGATTGGTCAGACTGAAGTATAAACAACATCTTTGTGCTGATCAGTGGCCTGTACTACGAAGCGGGGTTACTGGCTTATCGGGGTAACTTGTCGGATTTAAGGTAGCACCGTTTAAATGGACCTCATATTCATTCATTTACATTTTGCCCAGACTACCTTAAATCTGACAAGTTACCCCGTTAAGACAGTAACCCCGCTTTGTAGTACAGGCCACTGCATTTACTCTGGTGCTGCTCTCTTCAGTGTTTTGGCTAAACAGTGAGGTTATATGTAGAGCGCTTAAGGGGCATTGGCAGTACTGGCAGCAGCAGAACTGTAAGACAACAATGCTGTCTCTCCCAGAACTGCAGCAACTGCACTTAAAACTGGAGAAAATTCTGATGGGGGGGGGGGAGGTCTCTGCCAGTAATGCAGCTTCTACTTTGTGCTCTCGGAGCATCACAAATGTTTCTCACAAACTAGACCTTGTAAATATATTAAATAAAATATTAAAATATAGGCTTAAGGTTTTACCACTGTATTGATGTTTTGTAAGGCAAATATTCGATTTGAAATATTTGAGTGCCTCTTATATTTATTTATTTTTTTTTAAACAAAATTATAGTTGTGTCTTGGTTGGAACAGTTTAACTTGGAAAGTATAACTTAACTCCAAATATCAGGTTTCATTCATATAAGAATCTGACTTTTATTTTGTGGATGTTGTATGGATGCCTGGGATGATCTAAGCGAGTGAAAAAAGTAATCCTTAAAAATACACCACAAGAGGGCACTGGAGAGCAAATACTGCCCGTTGGAGGCTGCTAATAACGTAGTGCGTTTTGTGTGTGCGAGCGTGCGGCCAGAGCGCGAGTACTTGAATGTCTGGCTTTTGCCGTTACGGTATCGCACACAGAGGATCACGCTGTTACGGAAAACCATCTGCCTGATACCTTGAACATAACTTGCAATAGCAGTTCCGTCTGCTGAAAAGATTGTAAAAGCCGCAGCAAAACCAAAATGATGTTACATGGATTTATGCGTTACTCTATGTCTGTTACTGGCATGGGCGTAATTATGGGGGGGTTGTAGCCCCCCCAATACATCAAAACCAGCTAATACAACCCCCCAATAATCATGTTTCCTCCGTAATGGGGGGAGACCTCAACCCCCCCCCCCCCCAATATTCCAGCCAAAATTACACCCTTGGTTACTGGTGACTGTGGACCCTGTGTTCTGTTTTTCTACTAGAAAATAATGACCTTTTTAGCAGCAGATCTATTTTAGTTTCTTGTTAATGTAACTTCTCATATTTTCACGTTGATAAAACACTTAAGTGGAGAATGTGGATGGAAACTGCAGCCTAGGAAATTTCAAAGCACTTAAACTGTCCCTTTAGCCTTTCATGGCGAGAGGGTGTTTGCTTTCTGTTGTTATTAGTAGTAGTAGTATTATTCAGTGACAATAACGAGTGGTAAAATTAGAAAACTGTTGCAGTGTGGTTACGAGAGCATGAATACATACAAATAGCACATGCAGACGAACTGTGCGTGACAGACCGTTCCTCTTAGTGACGTCTCTGTGGGGCTCGGAGACGGAGACTAACACAGAAGGAACCTGAGAAATCCGACTGAGGACCTACGTGAGTCACTCTGAGTTTACAGTGACAAGCAGCCCTCGTGACTCTCGCGTCCCTTCCGATTGTCCTCATCCTCGCGCGCTGGTATCCCCAAACTCTGGCGCCAGGCGGCCTCCTCCACTGACCTCCTAATTATGTCATGTGAAAAAGCCAGATCCCATTGAAAAGCTGTCGAAATCAAACCCTATTAATTCCGCTCCTTTGCCTTATTTTCACCACTGAGGATCGCGTCTTCCCTACCAGCCTACAAAGAGGGAAGGGACAATAACGACGACATTACGTGATTAGAAAAACATACAGGAAAGTACCTGCAATTCAAAGAAACGTTCAAAGAAAACATCATTTCATGCGGGGAAAATAAAGCCTTAGCTTGTTCCCTGCGCAGTCCACTCGCCGCTTGACTGAAGATCCAGTACCAAAAAAGAATTTAATTAAAAGCCAGAAATTTCTGCAACTTGTGCAATTTTGCAGTTTCATAACCTTAAAATAGTATACTGCACAAGATATAATTTTAAGAATGGGAGGCATTAAGGCATTTTTATCTGTCATTGTATGATATCTAATGATCCCTGGTGGTACTGCATCCATATACAGCTGTCTGAAAGTGTTACATCTGATATTGCTCTTATTTAATTGCTTGCTGGATGCTTTTGTGCAAGAATTTAAACCATTTATCACAGCTGAGGTAATTTCCATTATAGCTTGGCAGGGGGGAGCTGCCTGCCGTTGGCCTGAATTTGTAACCTTTCTGTGACAGTTCCATGTTTTCAGCCATTACACTTGCTGCTGTCTGCTCCGGTTGTGCCATTGTCACGTACAGTAACGCTGGTGATTATTGTCACGTACAGTAACGCTGGTGATTATTGTCACGTGCAGTAACACTGGTGATTATTGTCACGTGAAGTAATGCTGGTGATTATTGTCACGTGCAGGCTGAAGTGAAGGCGTGGTCAGTCAAGTTAATTACACCAGGTGCAGTTTACAGTGAGTTGGTGAGCAATTGGACGTACGCCTGACCTATTTAAAACAAACTAGCATACAAGTACTAGTAAGTTGAAGAGGAGGAGAAGCCCAGTTGAAATTGTTCCTTAAGTTAAACTTGTAGTTTAAGAAAACAAGCTACAATCTCAAGCACTGGCCTAAATGACTTGTTACTAATCTCTTAAATCCATTCTGGCCCCAGCTTCTCTGGGCACGATTTGCCTAAATCTGTAACCTGCTTTAACTGCCTGCCTATCTGGCCTGTTTTTTTCCCTACATGGGCTTTTACTTTAATGTCCTAGTATGCCCTAATTAAAATAAATACCAGTGAAAGCACAGATCCTTTCTCCATGGTTTCACCTTTCAGATTAGGCAGTACTATCTGACTGTTCTCATTAATAACACACTCCACATCTTGAACTTGACTAAATCATCACTAAGGCATTAATTAAATTATTATTACACGACTTTGATTACATTTTTTTTACCCAAACCCACGATAGCTTTAATCCCACAGTTTTTGTGGCAAATTATGCTGTGACAATATTAAATTATACAATATTAAACCCATACTTGTCTTACCAGAATAATTTATGTGTAAAAATATTTGTTCCTTGTCATTTAACAGACACACACACACATATATAGAGGATGTGGAACATTTCCTGCTTTAAATAGGTACTAAATAACTTGCTTGAAATTTCATTTGACTGCCATTTTCAGAAAGACGAGCACAGTTTGTCTTAAAAGGTGTTAAATGGCTTCCTTATTTTTGCTATTAAAATAAAGGTTTTTGCTACCTGGGACGAACCGCAAAGGCCCAGGAATCACTGCACTTCTTTTGCTTATTTAAATTAAATGTGAGAGAGATACACTCGATGCGGCTGAGGGAGTGTGAGACCCTCAGCTCTGTAAAACGACAGATACACTCCATACGGCTGAAGGAGTGAGAGACCCTCAGCTCTGTAAAACGACAGATACACTCCATACGGCTGAAGGAGTGAGAGACCCTCAGCTCTGTAAAACGACAGATACACTCCGTGCGGCTGAGGGAGTGAGAGACCCTCAGCTCTGTAAAACGACAGATACACTCCGTGCGGCTGAGGGAGTGAGAGACCCTCAGCTCTGTAAAATGCTGCCGTTAATAGTAGTGAAGGCTAAGCTGAGTGCAGGAGTCCAAGTCACGGCTGATGACATTTGAGCGATTACAGAATGGGAGATTCACTGCAATGCCTCGATTCACCGTAATGCCTCGATTCACCATAATGCCTCGTGATCTCATGAATGTGGCGCTTCGACAGACTACTTACAGTTCATGGATCATCCACTGATTTAAGAGTGCTGTGTTGTTTCCGATGTGAACGTCCACCTAAGTGTCTTTTTTTACAAAGCCGTGTAACAGGCACCTGTAGGGCTGCATGGTTATTTTGGTCAGTATTGAGATCACGATTATTTGACACGATCACTCAGTGACTTTGGAAGTACCGTGCATTTATAGAACCTTTAAAAAAGCTTGTCTTTTTGACAGTGGATTTCCTTAAACTCTGAATATAATTCAACCGAGAATCTAATAAGAAGGTTCTGGAAAGAGGTGCTCTGGATTTATAACACAAGACAAAACGGGAGTATCATCACAAATCAAAATGCAGCACAATAATCATTTTTGATTATTATTTTGTTTTGTTAATTGTTGGAAGCCAAAATTGTAATTGAATTGAAATTCAATTAATTGCTCAGCCTTGTATCCAGCATCCAGCCTGAGCAAAGGTCACCGGTGCCTAGAGGATATCCAGACGTATTTCTTAATAGTCTAGCCTGTCACTTTGCCGGCACTAAAGGCACTGGCTGTAACAGCGACACCTGCAGGCTTTTTAGTGAGACTGTTTAGGTCACTGCAACACTGCGTACTGCCATGGTCAATGTGGTTTGCAGTGCTTGCAGTGCAAGTAACTTCATTTATGAATGTGGCTGCATGTTCCTTTGACATCGGCGGTAAATCTGAATGTGTGCCTTTATTCCATAGTCATGCTCCGTCCATTGATGGTGGGTATCGGCCAAAATTAGGTCTGTTAATGGAATCCGTGTCTGGCAAACTGAGTTCTTGATGAAGTGATGTATAAAATAGAACTTTGGGAGTCATAAAATGTAAAATCCTTGTTCCCCTGAACGCTGCTTGTAGGATACGTTCTAATTCTTTAGTGTAATTGTTACTAGGTCAGTCCCAGAACAGAACAAAGTGTCACCACAAAGCTGGCTTTTAGAAATGCAGCCCAGTATCAGTCCTGCTCTTTTCCCATGATCCCGTGCTCTTACAAGCGCTCGCCCAGCCCAGCCGTCCTGTGCCAAGATGTCCACCCGTCAGTGTGTGCGCGGTCCCCGGCGTGGGCCCCAATCCCGGGGCTCTCGGAGGACCTCGCGCTGAACTCATTCTGGCCAGCAGAAGAAAGGGTCTAATTGGAGGATTTTCCACATCATTAAGCTGCATGGGCAGCCCTCCCTTCTTCCCTTCCTTCCCTCCCTCCCAGGGCTGCACCCTTTCGCCTGCCTTCTGAAACAGAGGCACTGAACTCTGCCGCTGCTTTGCTAAAAGGTGCTTCTTTGTCTCGTGTTGATTCTGGAGCACGATGTTGCAGAAAACAAGCAACAAAGGTGTTTATTTCATTAGTTTAGCAGCGCAGTGCACTTTGGTCACATTTTCATTCGCTTTAGTCCTCTGTACATGGATTCTGCCATATAAAGTCCTCCTCTGTCATCAGTTTAATATTAATAGCGAAGATTAATGTTTCATAACCAGAGAAAATGCTGGATTTCATGTAGCTTCTTTGATGTTCACTCCATCTCACCAACTCAGAAATCAATCTGATCTTTTCATAGACAAATATTTACTGCAGTTACCCATCAGCAAAGTACACCGCCTTTAAACAGGCACAGTGTGTGTTCGCTTCCCCATAAATGTACCTGTAGATGAGACCAGAGCGCACCTCCCCCCTCAGACGGCACCGGTGCCCCCCCGCAGATGGCCCAGCGAGGGCATTCCTCAGTCTCCCATCTGCCCAGAAATGCAGCTTGCGTGCTGCTAACGCGAACCCAGCTGGAGCAGTGGCGGGGAGGGCGATTAGGGAGTGGAGAGTCCTGTGGAGCGGACCCCCCCCTTCCCAGCGAGGCCTGATTGATTGGAGCTTCATCTTCCTAACGGGCTGGCAGAGCGCCGGCCGACTCTGAAGCCTCCGCATTGTGTCTGCGGCCAGGAGCCGCTTGGTGCTTCCCAGTGACACAGCGCACTGCAGCGAAACGTCCTCGTTATGCTTATTTAGAGTATGAATGTTTATGTCTCTCCAGATAATCTACACGAATTATCCACATAGCCAAATATGCATGTACCGTAACACTTACAATTTAACCTGTACTATAAAAGTGTCTACTTTTAGTTTAAATAATATTTTTAATATTATCATTATTAATATTTTATTCAGATTTTGTATAAATATTTCATATATATATTATATTAATACTGTTGATACTCCTTATTAAACATGTTATCAAATAATGGGAGAACATTTCAAACTGGATTTAAGGAAGCACTTCTTTACACAGCGTGTAGTCAGAGTATGGAATAGTCTTCCTGATAATGTAGTGCAAGCTGAATCCTTGGGTTCCTTTAAATTAGAGCTAGATAAGATTTTAACAACTCTGAGCTATTACTTAAGTTCTCCCCAAGCGAGCTCGATGGGCCGAATGGCCTCCTCTCGTTTGTATAGTTCTTATGTTCTTCTTATGTTCTTATAATATCATGTAATAATATTTGACTGGATTTGTTTATTAGATCTTTTCTTAGCAGTCATGAGGTTTATAAAACTGAATGATGCAAAAAAAATTAAACAGAAGAAGAAAATATGAATGAATACAGAATATCAGTTTTAAACAGTTCAACATTTAACAGTGTATGGAACAGTTTAAAAACTAATATCGATCAACAAAGTAATCAAACATTCCGCTTGATATGTAAACCATTCTGGTTATGCCAGTTGTGTACTGCCAGTTGTGTACTCTGTGGCTGTGAAAATTCATGCTCAACTGATTGGTTGAAACAAAATCTTGGTCTGGACTTTTACTCTTTGGACCTGAATTACCCACCTCTGGTTAATACAAGTGTTTTGTGTTTGATGCTTCTGTTCCCCTCAGTAAACCGTCTTCTTCTCAGGAACGGCAGAGGAGCCCCAGCAAAGGGGGCGTTCATAGCATTGGGCGTGAGGCCCAAATCGTCCCCAAACCCACACAGTACTCCCAAAATATCTGTAGGAACATGTCTCTATGCCCCTTAGTTCACAGCCTTATAGATCACTCTCCACAAAATGCTCAAATCAGCCTTTTATTAGATATGGAGCCCTGGCACACTATCACCTGTGATGTCATCATCATCCTTTCCATCTGAACAAGCAGGCATTCAAAAGTGTCTTTTTCAAATCTGCAGCAGCAAAGAAATGACTTATGGCCTTGAAATATGGAGAGTGAAATCCGCGCGTCTTATATACTTTGGATAAGAGCTGATGTCCGCGGCAGAAGGTTGGTGCTCACAGCTCGGAGGGAGACGCCCCGTCCACGCTGGCCGATCCAAACACAGGCTGAGGCTGTCAGACGGCTGTCAGTCAAATCAGCTGGGAGCAGGAGATAATCACTTTTAAAGTGGTTAATTGAGTGTTAAGAGGATCTTGCTTCTGCCTAAATTTAATGACCTAACAGACTGTGGTTAGAGCCCCCCCCCCCCCCCACACTCCATGGTTATACACAGAATGACGACAGAGCTGAAGGTCTGACTCAGGATTAACCTTCTGCTACAAAAGGCATTAGGTAGAAAGAAGCAAAAAGATATAAAGCCTTCATGAGTGGTTACATTTGTGCATGTGCCACAGAAGATACGAAACAAGGAAATCTCATTTCCATGCCATAACACCTTGAGCACTTCAGTGTCATAACAACCCCACAATTCAAATAATCGGTTAGATAAAGGTGAAGAAACTATTACCTTCCCAGCTGACCAGGAGCAGGTAGTATCATACCTGAGCTGCATCTTTCATATTAACAAATCCAGTTGTCCTTCTATATCTCGGTGCGAGAGTCAGTTTAACCCTGTTAAAGTCTGTTTAAATTGTAGAATGGGCAAAAACCTAGATTGGTAAAAGTAACATGTCAAGGCAAGTAGAACATAAATGAATTTTATGTAACAGTGCAAAATGGAATTTAACAGGCAAACCTTACTTTTCCCCAAGCTGGCTAGTGGAGAATAAAGTTATATAACTTCAGAGGAATTTAAGAATGTCGGTGTAATAACCTTGTTCACGGATGAAATGTACCCGTGCTTCTGTAAACAGAAAAACTGTGCCTCAGTGAAACTGCTTGTGATTGGCTGAAGAAACGTGGACCGGCATTTGGGGGGGGGGGGTATTTACACAGTAGCAGGGAAAAACGCATTTCAGAATGCATTCCAGCAGAGGGGATGGTTCAGGTCATGCTTGCATGGGGAGTCCCAGATAACCCAAACTACCACGGGCTACACAAAGCCAGTCGAAACCTTAAAAACACATCGACAAAAGCTTTGCATTAGAATCACACATTTATTTGTAAGAGTCAATTTGTCAAGGGTGAACACATTGTTCTTGAACATACTGATTGCATAGGCCAGTGAATTTATTGCATTAATTACAAACTGAGAACAATAATGTCAATGAGGTGAGGCAAGATCCTCTGTGGTTGGATTCTTTCAAAAAATTGATTTTTTTCATTCAAAATTAGATTTTAAATACACCCTTTATCTAATCTGTTATAAGTATTAATGCATACAAAATGTGTAAAAGCCAGGGGTCCTTGAGTTGTGGTGCAGCAAACTTCACAAGGTCGCTGAGATTTCGCCATCTTCTTGCTGTGAGGAATACCGTACATTTTCCACGCAGAAACAACGACAAGGTCTCTATTCCATTAGCTTTGCTTCTAATAAGAACGAAAAATAAAACGACCAGTCTTATCAGGTATTTCACTTCTGCCAGTACATTCAGGTTCTGCAACCTGTGACACTGGTGACCTTCACTCTTCTTGGAACTAGCCTCCCTGCCCCGGCTGATATTTACGGTATAACAGTTATCCAGCATGAAATCTAAGGCCTCAGAACAGGAAAACACTGCTGTCGTTATAAATATCCGAAGCTTTATTAAACGGCAGCCACTCCAGTGTCCCAAATTGGTCCCTGGTGGAAGAAACAGGGGAAAACTCGATGTTACCTATGAAACTCTACCTGTGTCCTAATACATCGTCTTTCCAGTTCACTATTCAGAAAGATCCAAAAATCAGAGTTTAAATCATGGATGGAGAAGAGCTTCTTCCCAGCGTGACTTTAGCTGTGACTCATGGTTTGTCACATCGGCTGCCAGGTCTTATCCATGCACTGGACGTGCTCCTTGGCCCTCAGCCTCAGCGCTGCGATGCTGGAGCAGCGCTGGTCCACGTCCTCCACCGGGTATTTGTCAGCGAAGGCGGCGGGACACTGGTAGGGGGGCGGAGCCACCGGCTGCATTCCTTGCGCCATGGTGGGGGGCGTGTTCAGGAAGCTGTGGCCGGGAAATGCCTGTGCCGCCCCCATGAAGCCGGGGATGCTGTGTACCGGCGTGGCGCTGGACAGAGGCGAGGTCAGCCAAGGGTCCAGGGGCAGCGAGCTGGTGACGGTGCCGACGCCGCTGTGCACGGCCGGCCGGCTGAAGGGCAGCATGGGCGAGTCGTGCAGCTTGACGGTGCTGGCGTCCATCTTCTCCTGACGGCGCCACTTGGCTCTCCGGTTCTGAAACCAAACCTGGGAAGGAGAAGCAGGCAGAATAAGGAGACTGGAGACTGTGCAGCATCCTTCCAACAGAAATCAGGCTGGTCACTAAGGACCCTCAGTATAGAGAGACATACCCCCCCCCCCTCCCCAGCATCATGCTCAAACTGAACTCAGCCTCTTCAATCAACACCCTCAACAATCTCTATCACTCAAGGCACCTAATTTATTTATCAATCGAGCACCGTGTTTATCTATTTTATCTGTTTAATTATTTAATTGTATAGTAAAACATGAATAGTCTTGTTAATGTTTTTAAATCATAAACAAGGGAATTCTACAAGAAATGCACTTGTACTTTTATACCTGTAAATATGACAAATAAAGTTTTCAATTCAATTCAATTCAGTATCAATCTATTCCTATTGTGGAGATGATGGAACACACACAACTCTCGTTGACAGAAATTCTGTGTGATCTCCATATCAAATCGCTTCCATATCTTCACCATATCCTCCATTCATTAATGACATCTTGACTTCTTGTGGCTGTCCTGAGCATCTCCAGCTGCCAGAGAATAATCGGATCTACGGGCTCATTTTAACTCACGGACACCTGTAGCACGTCCCCCGGCATCTTTAATGGCTTCCTGCACACAAGCCTTACGTAAGAGTCCTCTGTGTACTTCAGTATGTACAAAAACATGGTATTAGATGGAATTGGATTCAAGCCTGATGACATACAGAACCAGTCAAAACTTTGGACACGACAAGCCGCCTGCAAAGGAGAGTAATAGTGTCACGTCACGTGACCTGGTTACCTGACCTAAACACAGCAGAAATGGTTTGGTTTGATCAGAGAGTGAAGGAAATGCGGCCAATGAGTGCTCAGCATTTTCCTTCTGGAAAAGCATCCCAGGAGGCCACCTCATGAAGCTGGCATAGAGGGGACAGGAGGGGCAGCCTGTCCCGGGAGCGACTGGGGTTAAGGGCCCGGTGGTGTGATCATTCTGCTCACCCAGGGATTTGAACCAGTAGCCTTCTGAGGCTCAACCTACAGAGCTGCCCCCAAACAAATAAAATCTCAGCATGTATTTCCATTTATGTTTTATAGTTTTGATGTTTTTATAATTATTGTACAATGCGGAGAATAGTACACATAAACCTTTCTATGGGTGGGGGGGGTCCAAACTTTTGACTGGTCCTGTATATGGAGACCCTAGGGATGAGGGTGAGCTGGAGCAGGCCTACCTGCACGCGGACCTCGGGGAGGCTGACCTTCATGGCCAGCTCCTCGCGGCTGTACACGTCCGGGTAGTGGGACTTCTCGAAGGCCCTCTCCAGCTCGTGTAGCTGGTAGGTGGTGAAGGTGGTGCGATTACGCCGGTGCTTCTTCTTCGGCGGCTCCTCGCTCAGGCCGTCCGGGGACTTGCTGTCCGCCTCACCGTCGCCGCCCTTCGGCCCCCCGCTCACCTCCCCCTCGCACTTGTCGGAAAACAGACCCGAGTCTGCGAATCGGACAGAGAGTAGAAGAGTTACTCCTGAAGTACTGCCATTGTAAGACCACAAACTCCTAAGCGGTAAAGGACAGCAAGCAATAAAAGCAACACAATCGTACAGGTCAATGTGCTGTATAGTACTGCGCCAGTTTGGACTGTAACGTTTAAGTTAATAGACTTGGCTCTTTTCACAGATTTGTCTATGCATTAATTTCTGGAGAAAACACTTGTCCCTGGGTTAATCTAACTAGCAATGTGCTCCAGTTTGCACTTCCAGCCTCAGAAAATGGTTAAATTGCTGTATATAAGTGTAAACATGATGTCACTTGTTGGTATTCAGTCTTCACTGACTTATTCTTTGAGATATTAAGCAATATGTTTTATTTATAGATTTCCACTCAGTTTCATGCTCTCTTATTTTCCCTGTAGTCAGCAGAATATGTAATGCGGGGGGAGAAGGTTCTGGGGCGTCTGAACATCATGGCCAGGAGTTCGGGTCAATCTGCGCTTATGGTACCTGCTATCTGGGTCTGTTTATATCAAAGCCAAAAGAGGTGGGGAATACAGGCAGGAGTAATTGTGCAAGCAGGAGCGTAACTAGAGATTCTGACAAAATGTCACCATGGCCCCGCCCCCCACTATCACGTCCCTTTCACGTCCTCTGGGGCCCCTGTAAAATGTTGGGCCCCGGAATCTGCCAGGGTGTCCATGACCCTACTGTGTCCCTGTGTGCAGGACTGCACACTTACCCTGGAAGTCAGACTGAGCCACACTCTCCCTCAGAGCAGGAGGGTGTCCGTAGATATGAGCTGGGCCCTGCTTCCCTGGATCGCCCAGGGGCCCGATCCCTGCCTTGAGCTGCTCGGCCTGGTTCAGCAGTGGGTCCTGGTCCTTGCTGAAGCCCAAGATGACATCGATGCTGTGGACGCGGCCACCCACCGATGCCCCCCCGCCTTTCACCATCTCGTGGAAGTTGGTCGCCGACAGGCAGCCGTCGTCCACCATGCTCACGGTATCCAGGGACAGATGCATCCGAGAAACTCTGAGTCACTTCGCCTCCGGGAGGAAAATGCAAGAGCAGCACTGTGCAGGCAAAGAGCCTAACAAGGCATGCACTCCTGTATCAAACGTCAAATGTCAACTTTGGCAGGAACGCAAGGGAACAGCCCATTCAGGAACGGACTGCAGGTGAAATAAACATGCTTTTCTTCAACTTTATGGTCCCTTGAAGTGCCCCAACATCTTGGAAAAAAAATTAAGAAAATGTTTAATAACCGGAAATCTACATTATAGAATTATATAATCGTTTAATTACATTATACGACCGACTTACACATTGCTATATGTTCAAACACACCTGCTGCATAAAACATAATCATGCGAAATAATAAAACTTGCCGAACGAAAACAGAATCTGTAGACTGTGACCATTTAATTTCATCAACACGATTAATTACTCAAAACAAGTGACGCCACAATTCAATGGCATGACAAATGCTTTCAGTTTGCTAATACACGGTGGCCGCTACGGCTCAGTAAGCGCCGTTTGAGTCCCTCCAGAGTCCCTGCAGTCGGCCTGTTTTGATGCAGGTCCTCCCGGAGCGTGCAGCTATGCAATTAAGCTTGAGCTTCATCTCTAAACCGTGCTGCGTGTGTGTCTCCTGGGATGGGCTGGCTGTGCGGGACAAGCGCATGGCCGGGTGATGAACGTCATGGATAAAAAAGAATATGCACTTTTCAAATATATTTATTTAATTATAAGTCTGCTGGTTACACCAGCTTGTAGCAGCTCATTTATTTTATGTAAGGACAAGTCAGTGCAAACATAATAGCATAACACACCGATTTTAACTTCGGTAATAACAGCCTACAGTCTTACATGTTAGGCGATATCGGATGTGACTTTCAATACTGATCAGAGATACCGAACAGAAAGTGTCCGCCACGAGCCCACCGACGAAATCTCCAACCGCTCGAGCCGGACTTTCTCAGCATGATAAATTAAGCATTAATCGAAAAATTAAAATTCAGTAAGTATGTGATGCGACACGACGCCCTAGAAATAATGTGATAAAAACAAGTTATAATCAAAATGTCTGTAAAAGTTTTGTTAAACAACAAAATCAGTGCAACACCTAAAACTGCATACTACAAACGGTTTAATTTAAGCGATACTGCATATTCACCAAACGAAATGTGTCGGTTTTTTACTTTTTTGTTGCCATCGGTAAAAAAACATAATTGTCTCCCTTAAGTATCACGAACCTGCTTTATTATCTGAACTTCTGTTTTATTTCAGTACTGACTGTTAATCATTATTTTGCTGTGTCTTGTTACAAAAGTCAGTTATGCACGCATATAAGCGCATTGATATGACCGCATATTTCTTGTCTTAAGATACATATTAATGACTTTTTAAATTTCTTTAACTACCTACTTTTGCACGGAGTGTCATAGCAAAATATTTACCGTTACTGAAAACAAAGCCTTCGACCTTTCAGCTACCGACAGAGGCTTTTACTTTAAAGAGTGCTCTTTATTGCGGTGTAACTTGTTTATATTATTATACTATAGGCTACTTATTATTATAGTCGAATTACCGTTTCGGTTATGACGCCAAATAATTTCTTAACGCTAAAGTTTATAAATCAGATACGACTTTTTGTGTTTGCTCATCTTATATTTACCTTTCCATCCTGTTTTTTGAAAACGATTATGTGAGACGTACCTATCGGGCGGCTTCCTGCGGGAGCTGTGCGGTGCGACAGCCCAGGAGCGCAAATGTTGAGGCGACGATTGCGCTGGTCCTTTGAATGACAGAAAAGCCTGTCAGGCTTCTCAAATTCCGCTGAGAGCCTTGACTGTCTGATTGTTATTCCAATATCTATTTGTGTTCCTATAAACAAACGAATAAACAAATATAATAGCCATAAAACTGGTCTACAGTGAGTCAATGATTGTTTTTCGCCCTTTTCGTTGAAGCTCTTTTCAAAATCGTACAGACGGCAAAGGTACAATGAAGAATGAACGTAAAGCGAAGGGATTAAAAGGTTTATTAATTGGAATCCTTCCCCTTTAAGAATGACTGACAATTGTTTTCTGGTCAAGTAATTGCTCTAAATGTAGCTTCCATTCACGCCACAGGAGGAGGCCGGGGCTAATGAAGCCCGTACAGGACTTTCTTTCAAAATTCTATTGTTTTTAAGACAAAGAAGTTCTGCTGAAAGTTTTCGTTAATCCCCTCATTATTCCAGCGAAAGAGTATATTCAAAAAGACCCGCAACTTTGGGCTGGAGCAGCTTTCTGTTTTATGATCGTACAAACCTATAGAAAGCAGGCTGCAGATCATTAGGCTTTATTTCCAGGTATGACTAAAACATTATTTTCTGAAGTGCAACGCTTAATATAAATAATAAAGCTTCCTAGTGTCATTCTACTGACAAATTTCAACTGTAGTAGAAACCGCAGAGATGATCTGCAACCCCGCAAATAAAATGCATGAAAAAAGAAGCGAAATTTAAAAAAGTAACTCAGCCTCCATAGATGGATCACTTATCCAAGCTTATTCAGAGCGTTCAGCGCATTCAATGCGCCGGCACCGCCCGCCCAAACAGCTAAATTAAATTGAGTGTTGAATATGCGTAGTACTTCAGGGAGAATAACCGGAATTGTTAAGTTCATTATATATGACCCTCCATCGTCGATGGTCTACTACTCGGAGAGCCGGAGAATTTTATCAGCAATCAAAAATAACACAAAAATCTTAAAAAGTATAAAATGCCAAACCCTGTTACATTTAATGAACAAGTAACCTAAAACTTAAATTTGACACATGTTCACACATATATTCACTAAGAAAACACACTTGAAGAAAATGACTCAATAAAATGCTTTAATAATAATAGTAATTTCCCGTAACCGTGTACTGAGCACATGGATAATAATTCTCACAAAATTATTTTCACAAATAATTCTTTTTGAAAATGACATCGGACTGTCATCATTATTAAATCATTAATCAGATTTTTACAAACAAAAACAGTTTAGAGATATTTTTATGTCACATTGCAGTGTTTTAATACTATGCTGCAGATATTCAAATTCAAATAAATTACCATTTGTTTACCAGGCACAGTTTATTAATATGTCGATCATTTAAATTGGGTAATTCCTTGTCCTAGCTAATTCCATAAAAATGTGTACCAATTTGTTATGAATTATAAAACAAAACAATTACCGACATAATCAATCTATGCCCTGTTTAACAGCCAATTAAGGTTTTAGCTCTGATTTTATAAATTGCCGTTTACCGAGCTGCTGTTAGAATGAATCCTGCATAACCAGAAAGGCACACAGTCTGAAGCAGTGAGAAATATTACAATTTGTTATTACGTTTTGATATTTACATTAATGAAAACATTTCTGCAATATACAACATGGCAAATCCAAAAAGCACGACATTTATAGAGGCAGTATGTATATGTTTGTGTGTATGAATAAAAATAAACACCTAAATAAATGTAATTAATTTCAGATGTCCTGTTTGGCCAGTAGGACATCCTTAGGTCTCGACTGAGCAGAGAGAGGTTAGTATCTCAGTGATCAATCCTGCCATTAATGAGGCTAAATACTTCTCTGGAGATTTCCTCTGACCTCAGAGAAATCTAAAGATAAGTTTAAGAAGCTCTGGAGAATGGTTTTAGGAAGCTTGACATGGCAAGAAAAAATAAAAATGCTGCAGTCGTAAAGACAGTATTTGGACCAAAAGAATGCAGTGAATCATATTGAAAACTGCAACGTAGTGTATTAGTATTAAGGACTGTGGTATTTTCTGTCATTTATTTATTTCTTTGTTTGTTTATTGTTTTTTATTTCTTTTTCGCAGCAATAGAGAAAAAAAGAGTATACATTTAATTAATTATAAACTGGCATAATCTCACTGCTACATTTAACTGTGCCTGTTAATTTTCAGTTGAGAAAACAGCACAGTTTGTCAGGCAGGCAGTTACGTGGGCTCAGGCATATCTGTCCATTATATTTCTATGACTCATGAGCCTGAAATGGTCTTTTTTATTTTTCATGCCATTAAAGTTATATTTAGTTTTTTCTTAAATACAGACCTTGACTGATACTAAAGTATTGTTTTATTTGAAATATACCTAAAAGAGGTCACATTTAACCAGAAACTGCTATGAACTTTTTGCACTACTGCATTTTGTACTTCTGCGTCGTCTTGCTATAGATAAAACTGGTGAACACATCTAACGAAATCTGAGACCATTCCTCCTTGAAGAACCTCTCCAGATCTCTCAGATCTCCAGGTCCTTGGACCACGCTTATAGATTACCCTCTTCAGCTTCCCCCATGCACCAGTGTTCAATGGGGTTTAAATCAAGGCACAGGAATGGCCAACAAAAGCTTCATTTTGTGGGCAGTGAACCATCTGGGTGTGGATTTGGAGGCTCTGGATCATCTTGCTAAAAGATCCTGCATGACTCACTGCTGCCTTGGGAGGAGAACCTGCCGTGGTGCTGCAGATCCACCACCTGGCTGCGTTCCTGTAACATCTCTCACAAACACCAGGGCCTTACATTTGTGCTGTGACGTCAGTGAAGGGTTTGTTGGAATAGTGCAGGTGGCAACTAATGGTAGTTTTAGAGATGTGTTAACCCTAGGATGAAGTTGGCCGCTGGGATTGTCCTGTGATGCTTGGAGAATATTGTGCCTCTACATTGATCCTTTTCTCAGTGTTTGTGAAGGCAAAGCAGGGGCGCATCCTCTTCCAGACAGGTTAATCACAGCTCCAGCAGCTGAAACTTCGTTATTATTGCTCTAGTACTGTATTAAGTGTAAATTTAAAGCATGCAGCTACTTTTTATGTCCTTCGCCTGATTTACGTAGGTCAACAACCATTTGTTCACGCGTAATCTCTGGTCTTACCCATGTTGATGAAGTTTGGTCTCTGTGTTACGTCATTCTAACGCTCCAGAGGAAAAGAACGTTGGTTGTGAGTTTTTTCGATAAAAGTCTCTCTCTTTTTTGAGAAAAAAATGTTGCATTTAGGTGAGGATTTATTTTCTTTTAATAATTTTGAGCAATATATTTCGTAATTTCAGTCTACGATCAGGCTAATGGACAAAAAGACATTTTTTCATAGCCTTCTTGGTAATTTTTGACAGGAGTGAGAATAACTCTGCGCGTCTGAAAATTATACGACAAGCATCCATTTATCAGATAACTGAAAGCCGATTCGCTGTATTAACTTTCAAGGGTTTCTTCTAGGAAGAAGCAAATAGGATGACAGGATGGGCAAAAATCCCAAAATGCACCAGAGTGAAAAACGTCACAGAGATTTAAGGTAGTGATGAAGGATGCAGCCCCTCCAAGGAAGCGGCATTCTGCACAGACTTTGCTCTGGCTGACCATAAATAACGTTTGCTCTGCTTCTGCCCGGTTATTGTGGCGTGCGAACCGTGCAGAACGGCAGAATGCGCCGATCGTTAAGCTTATAAGCTGGTCTCATCGCAGGCGTGGAGTCCGCCCGCCCCCTCGGGACAGCAGGACGAAAGGTAAGAACTAGGGTAGCTTTGTGAGCTCCTTGCTCCAAACTTAGCTCCGCTGTCAGACTTAAGTGCCGTATTTTGTTAAAATAAACCATGCCTGAGTATTAAGTAAGGTTTTCACGTCGTAACGTAATGAACAAGTTACTGCATTTCAGCCAGATGACAATAACGCAATAATGATTCAGACAAACCTTAGCTATTAAGAATTGCATTAGACATATTACACATGTTACGTTTACATGAAACGAATTGCTTAGAATGAAATCATTCTAAATTAACAAACAATAAAACATAAAAAACTATCATACAAAATCGTTTGCCGCTTCTTTTCATAATTAACGCGACTGCAGTAGAGATGCTGTGACCATTAAACGATTGGAATAGTTAAGCGCAGCGCGGTTGTGGAATAACGATTTAAAAAGATAAGCCGGAGCAAATAGTCTGTCCTGGCGTAACCTCGGAGCATTTAAAGAGAACACGCTTTCCTTACCACCTGTGTAACTGCCTTTTGATAGCGCTGTCATTAATGACAAATTGATTTATGCTCTGAAAGCAAGCAAGCAAGTTAGTTGGTTATACGGCGCTATGCTTACTGTACTTCGTTGCTTGTTTGCTCATTATCCTAATTGAGTACAAATTGGTTAAGAAGGTACGGCATAGCTATCAATCTGCTTAGTTTTATCAGATGACAATATAAGCCCCCCGATCCTATTAAGGAAAAAGCTGCTAACGCCTAAAGGCGCTGTGTCAGCTTACTGGGCAGAGGGGGTAGGGAACACGCCCGATGCCCCGCCCTGCCCCTAAAGCCTCATCTGCCCTCCCGCCTTATTCCTCATCACACGCTTCAGACACAGTGCGTTTTATTACAATTATTTCCACTAGTTTCCATTTGCATCTGCCGTTATTATTGCAAACTATAAACTGGAGCCACGTCGTCTCGTCTCACTCTGTACATGTACGTAGCTGAGATGACAGAAAAGTTTACTTTGACTTTGACTTAAAAAGGGTCCGCTTGCTTTCAAATGCTTTGAAAAACGTTTCCATTGAAGTTAAGGAAAGGGGAGGTTTTAATGAATTTTTATAATTCATTCATCTTTATAAATTAATTTTATAGAACATACTTAAACCTTTGAAATGTTGCTACATAAATTCATGATTTTTTTTCCTGTTATATTGACAACTACGGAGCGCGTCTTCTAGATGCGTCACAGTGCCTCACTTACGGAAATGATACCTTTATTTTGGAACACAG